GCACAGTGGCATTTAGTTGGGACTGTTTCCCACGCTTTTTGGGCCAGAAGAATTAATGGCTAGCATGGTGTGGTCATTGTTAATGATGATGTGCGCACTATTTCCTAATTAGGTGACTTCCTAATTGGGAAAAGCGTTACACTTTTTTCTGACAGACCTGATGTCAGGCACAGTGCACATTTAGGTTGGGAACTGTTTCCCATGCTTCTTGGGCCAGAAGAGTTAATGGCTAGCATGGTGTGGTCATTGTTAATGATGATGTGTGCACTATTTCCTAATTGGGCCATTTCCTAATTAAGAAAAGTGCTACACTTTTTTCTGACACACCTGATGTCAGGCACACTGCACATTTGGGTGGGGAATTATGTGTCTGCTTTTTTCATTACAACACTTTGTAGTGTCCGCTTTATTCATTAGAAAATTGTGTAGTGTCTGCTTTATTTATTAGAAAATTGTGTAGTGTCCGCTTTTTTCATTACAACACTGTGTAATGTCCGCTTTTTTCATTAACACACTGTGTAATGTCCGCTTTTTTCATTAACACACTTTGTATTGTTCGCTTTGTTCATTAGAAAATTGTGTAGTGTCCGCTTTTTTTCATGACAACACTGTGTAATGTCCGCTTTTTTCATTAAAACACTTTGTAGTGTCCGCTTTGTTCATTAGAAAATTGTGTAGTGTTCGCTTTTTTCATTACAACACTGTGTAGTGTCCGCTTTTTTCATTAAAAAACTATGTAGTGTCCGCTTTATTCATTAGAAAATTGTGTAGTGTCCGCTTTTTTCATAAAACACTTTGTAGTGTCCGCTTTGTTCATTAGAAAATTGTGTAGTGTCTGCTTTTTTCATTACAACACTTTATGGTGTCCGCTTTCATCAGGAAAACATGAGGGTCATCTTTGGGGATCTTTGGGGTCTTTGGAAAGACCTAAAGACTCCAAAGACATAAAGACCACACGTCTTTCGGGAGACAGGTACATTTTCTTTCAAAGATGTGGTCATCTTTGAGGGACCATCGACAATCTTTCACAGATGAACACAGAGCTTTGTGAACACCGTCTTAGGCTTCATAAGATATCTTTACAAGTCTTTCACTCATGCTTATCATACCGCAGATGCACTAAAATTAATCTTATTCAAGCAACGTATAAACAGTAGATACCACGATGTCTGAGATATGAACCATCTCCGTCTCTCCCTCTATCCAATCCGTCATGCCCCTACACACCACTTCTTTGTCAGTGCGCCCAGGAGCCTGTTTGTGATACTGGTGACGGCAATTGCACATTTACGTAGGTAATAGGTCTGTAAATCAATATGAGCAATTGGGGTTTCGGAAAACGAACAGAGAATAGAAATATGCACCCTTGAATACTCGAGTGGATGGTAGGTTTACGGGGCATGCAGGCTTGCCACCATTCTGAGCAGGAACAATGAAAGGACTTGAAGTGGTCCTGTCCGAAATGTGTCGACTATCAAGCCTGATATTACACAGACTAGAAGAACTGATTCAGTCTTGTTTAACTATGACCGGAACAAGGCGACTCACACAGCGCCCGAGGGTACGCCAACGCCAAATCAGAGCACATCACTCCTTCACCTTGTGAAGAAGCGTGATTGTCCAGTGCAGGGTTCTGCTGCTCCCGTCGGCGGCACTGACTGATGATGCTGATGGTCCTTTGGTTGATCTGGAGCAGGCTCTAGGTGATTCTCAGAGGGTGATGATGACCCTGGCTGTGAGGAGCACAAGGAGAACATGGATGCGGTGATGGTGCCCCCTGATGACGCGGAAATTTCTGCGCTGGGTGTGGCTTGATACAAAGGAAGCAAGGAGGTTCGGAGAGCTGGAACAAGTGTGGTGAGAGGGGTAATGGTGCGGTGACTTACAGGGGGCGAGGAAGTCGGGAGGGATGGAGTGCTACTGATGAGACTTAGTAGGGCGCAAAGACATGTGAATGAGACATATGGGTTAAGTGAACTTGCAGCTGTAGGTGGAAACGTCGGGAAGACAGGCGTAGCTGATGTCAAAAGAGAGAACGTGAAGGGAGAAACACACGCACTGAGGTTCGTGACTGTTTGTTGAATAGGAGTGTTTTTGTAGGCCCGACCATATCACCGGTGAGATGGAGCTCCCAACGGCAACAACGAGACAGAGAGAAGAGGTCATAATAGTAAAAAGCCAGAGGACGATAAGCCAAAGCCGTCAAATGAAAAGACAGCGAGCGTACCACTTGTGTCGCAAGAACTCTCGAGTCTCCAGAGACACTGTCCAAAAGGGGGAGATAGTTCGGTTCCCCATAGTTTAGGTTTTTAGGTCTTCTCCATCCTCAGCCTTGGGAACACATCATCAATACATTTTCAGACGAATGGTGGGGGAACGAGAGGAAGTGTATGGGTGATGGGGGATCAACAAACTTCCAAAAATCAACAGGCGATCACATGATGTGCGGAGTCTGAACTAACTTCGATAATACAAACCTCTAGTAAGCCTACCGCGAACACGTTCCACACGTTGAACGTGCTTGCTATCACCATTCTATTCGTGCTACATGGCCACCACATTCACCCTGGAAGAACATGACAAGGGGCCCGACCCAGTAAACAACACCTCAACACAACCTCCACCCAAGACGGTTTCCGAACCAGTCGGCTTGAGTAGGGCAACATGACAAAGAAGGGGTCCCAGGTATTTTCCATGCAGAACATTACTACAACCCTGCCGCTGCCTGGTTTTTCAGTGATAACAAGCAAATCCGCCACTCTCCTTTCAAGCACGATGGTGTCAACGCTGCTGTGGTGATGCTTGACCCACGACACCAGCACTCAACAGTCGCAGCAACAGTAATCGCCTCACAGTTTGCGGCTGTAAACAGTCACCACCCCACCTCATCTTCTCCATTATGTGACCAATGTCGTCGTAAGCCCTCGCAGCTGTTTGCCCTCACGGCAATCGACGTCCTGGGTGCATCAGTAAGGTTGGTCTTGCCAACTCCCACCCATTCGGTCTTTATTCCGACTATGGGCAGCATTGACTACCAGGTTTCACATACCACCCTCACCCATGAGGTACAGATATGGGTTTTGATGCGTACGGGTTAGGATTTTTTACCTGGGTCATTCACAAGGTGCAAGTCGGAAGGTGGAACGACGAAGGTCAGGCTTAATTATATGGGTGACTTAGCTACATTTATAGTTAAACATCTATCGACTATCATTCATCCTGACAGCGCAGTGTGCATCTGGCTTCTAATGGACACCATATCAGAATGCATGCACGCGAGTATGCATTCTAATTGAAATATCGATAACTCTACAGATTGCCCTGAAATCGGGTGGTGCAGCTGAGGAATGGCTCACGACGATGTCCTTCAAAACACACGGCCTTCACAACCGAAGACCTCAAGATAAGAAAGACCAACCTTTTGACTGAAAGACCTGATAGCCTCAGCTTGAATATCAAAGATTTGCGCCCAAAGACAGAGTCCTCGAAAGACCTCCTTTGCAAAGACATAGTGCTCAAAGATGTGGTTCCCTGAGACAAAGACACCAAAGATCACCCTAACGTTTTCCTGATGTTATTGATTAGAAAATTGTGTAGTGTCCGCTTTTTTCATTAAAACACTTTGTAGTGTCCGCTTTATTCATTAGAAAATTGTGTAGTGTCCGATTTTTTCATTAAAACACTTTGTAGTGTCCGCTTTGATGATTAGAAAATTGTGTAGTGTCTGCTTTTTTCATTACAACACTTTGTAGTGTCCACTTTATTCATTAGAAAATTGTGTAGTGTCCGCTTTTTTCATTACAATTCTGTGTAGTATCCCCTTTTTTCATTAGAAAACTCTGCATTATTCGCTTTTTTCATTAGAAATGTGTGCAGTGTCTGCTTTTTTCATCAGAAAACTTTGTGGTCTGCCTTTCTGATATATTGTCACTCCAGTAAAACAGCTCTTCATCATCTGCAATTCATACATCAGTTGTGTTTTGACTGAGCATCAAGTGTCCTAACTTTCCCCTTGAACAGCTTCTGACAGTAGCCCCAACAGCTGGCAAATCAACCACTGAGATCTTCTTGAAGGAGATCATGTTGAGGTTGGGTATGGTCAGACAAAGATGGACAGAGATGACTCCCCAGGGAGATGCAATGAATGTTGGACAACATGACTGAAGCTGGCCAGGGGAACAATTAGAACACTTGATGGTCAGTCAAAAGACAATTTGTGTATGGATTCTAAATGATGAAGAGGTCTTTGGCTGGAGTCAGTTTCTCTGAAACATTAAGCTATATTTCCAGGAAGCTGCAAGATATCAGAAAGGCAAACCACAAAGTTTTGTAATGAAAGAATTGGACACTGCACACATTTCTAATGAAAAAAGCGGACACTAGACAATTGTGTAATGAGTAAAGCAGACACTACATAGTGTTGTAATGAAAAAAGCGAACACTACACAATTTTGTAATGCACAAAGTGGACACTACCCAGATTTCTAATGAAAAAGCAGACACTGCACACATTTCTAATGAAAAAAGCGAATACTGCAGAGTTTTGTAATGAAAAAAGCGGACACTACACAATTTTGTAATGAATAAAGTGGACACTACACAGAATTGTAAGTTTTGTAATGAAAGAATTGGACACTGCACACATTTCTAATGAAAAAAGCGGACACTAGACAATTTTCTAATGAATAAAGCAGACACTACATAGTTTTTTAATGAAAAAAGCGGACACTACACAATTTTCTAATGCATAAAGTGGACACTACCCAGATTTCTAATGAAAAAGCAGACACTGCACACATTTCTAATGAAAAAAGCGAATACTGCAGAGTTTTGTAATGAAAAAAGCGGACACTACACAATTTTGTAATGAATAAAGTGGACACTACACAGAATTGTAAGTTTTGTAATGAAAGAATTGGACACTGCACACATTTCTAATGAAAAAAGCGGACACTAGACAATTTTCTAATGAATAAAGCAGACACTACATAGTTTTTTAATGAAAAAAGCGGACACAACACAATTTTCTAATGCACAAAGCGGACACTACACAGTGTTGTAATGAAAAAAGCGAACACTACACAATTTTCTAATGAACAAAGCGGACACTACAGAGTTTTGTAATGAAAAAAGCGGACACTACACAATTTTGTAATGAATAAAGTGGACACTACACAGAATTGTAAGTTTTGTAATGAAAGAAGCGGACACTGCACACATTTCTAATGAAAAAAGCGGACACTAGACAATGTTGTAATGAAAAAAGCGGACACTACACAATTTTCTAATCAATAAAGCGGACACTACAAAGTGTTGTAATGAAAAAAGCGGACACTACACAATTTTCTAATAAATAAAGCAGACACTACACAATTTTCTAATGAATAAAGCGGACACTACAAAGTGTTGTAATGAAAAAAGCAGACACATAATTCCCCACCCAAATGTGCAGTGTGCCTGACATCAGGTGTGTCAGAAAAAAGTGTAGCACTTTTCTTAATTAGGAAATGGCCCAATTAGGAAATAGTGCACACATCATCATTAACAATGACCACACCATGCTAGCCATTAACTCTTCTGGCCCAAGAAGCATGGGAAACAGTTCCCAACCTAAATGTGCACTGTGCCTGACATCAGGTCTGTCAGAAAAAAGTGTAACGCTTTTCCCAATTAGGAAGTCACCTAATTAGGAAATAGTGCGCACATCATCATTAACAATGACCACACCATGCTAGCCATTAATTCTTCTGGCCCAAAAAGCGTGGGAAACAGTTCCCAACCTAAATGCGCACTGTGCCTGACATCAGGTGTGGCAGAAAAAAATGTAATGCTTTTCCCAATTAGGAAATGGCCCAATTAGGAAATAGTGCACACATCAATGCATATACTACACATGGGTCAAACCCATTGGTAAATATCTGTCAACAAACATCCCAATGAGGGTATTCTGTCTACAAAATAATAGGTAAATCCCCTGTCCCCTATATTAAAAAAATCCCAAGTTTTTCTCTTAAATATAGGACCCCAGACACCCCTTGTGGCTGAAAAAATATATCCTTAGTCAACCCTAGCTGTGAAATATATCCCAAGTCCATCCCAGACAAGAAATATATTTCTACATTGTGACAGTCACAATTCAGGGTCCAGGCATAAGAAATATATTTGGAGTCCATTCCAGTGAGGAAATATATTTTGGGGTGTGTGACACACTAGAAATATATTTAGTGTGACATTGGACAACAAAATATATTTAGGTAAAAGTGGAGATATACAAGCCCAGAATATATACACTATAGATATACACCCTGACATTTAGTCCCGTAGTATTCATGGAGTTTGCAAGACTAACAGTCAGTTGTCAGTGGGTGACTGAAGTGCCACAAACAGGCGACATGATGATATGGCACGCCCTCAAGTAAGTCACGTGACCTCACCCCGCAGACTGAACAAAATCATGAATCCTTATTGCAGCTATCACTGACCCACACTATATGTAAATTATAATCTTTCTGTTCATTGATTAATAAAATTGTAGGTATAGCTTATCTGTTGTATAGTCCATTTTCGCTTTTTTAGGTATATTCATATATAATAATAATATACTGGAATGACTGGAATCCACTGGACTCCACTGGACTCTGACTGGACTGGGACTGGACTCAGGAAAGTGGCTGCCAGTCCAGTGGACTGGACTGGACTGGACTCCAGTGGACTGGGCATTCTGCCAGCCAATCTGGCCTGGTAAGAGGGCCACTGGAGTCCACTGGAGTCCACTGGAGTCCATATGGATTACGTGGGGGAGGGTAAAGACCTCATATATATGGGTCCTAGAAAGCCCTGAAATCTAAAATATATTTTTGACACATGGACCCTGAAATGTCACACAAAAATTATAATGTCTGTGTCACACCACCAAAATATATTTTGCAAGTGAAATGCAGTAAGGATATATTTTCAGTGAGTGGACCCTGAAATGTCACTGTCACACCTTAGAAATATATTTTTGCCCCAGCTTGGCCTTAGGATATATTTTGTGATACAGATGTGGTAAGGATATATTTTTCTGGTCTGTAGTGGTGTCAGGGGTCTTAGTTTTAGCAAAAAAACTTGTCATTTTTTGCTGTCTGGGGTATATATTCTGGAAGTTTCTGCCATGACTTCCAGGGGTTTTGGCACTATGTTTGGCTTGTGCTCCCAGTATGTAGGTAGCAATAAGGAGCATCGTTAGCATCTCTATGCTGATCTGTTTGGCAAACTGACATCCCATCTTGAACATTTGACTTCTGCTTGTTTCGGAAGAGGGTGATACTTTCTTGTCGACTTATGATTGACTTCTACCTCAGGTGGGGACATGGTGGTGTCATATGAGTGCTTCCTCGTCAACAAGTTCAGAAACATCTGGAATTGTTCTTAATACAGCACCATGCTGCTATATTGAAGCTATTTTGCCACACCCCCTTCCATAACATCTGAGTTGCCTAACTATCATCCACTTCAAATAACACTATGAATACAGTTCACATTACACAATTTTTTAGCTTGTCAGAGTTGACAAAGTACTTTGTTGTTTCTCTCTTTCTCCTTCCTCTCCCTCTCCTCCTCTCTCTCTTTCTCTTTCCCTTGACTCTTGATTGTAAATTCATGGACAACAAATTCCATTCTCCTCTAACAAATTCTGTTCACCATGTCATAATATGGGGTTCTTCTTTGTATTTTATATGGTTCCCTTCTTATCCACTTCAAATGACACTATGGATACAGTCCGCATTAGAGAACTTTTGACATCCAATGCCGATGTGTCTGGCAAATTGACATCCCACCCCAAACAACTCCATCACTTTAGTTTAGCAAGAGGAACACTTCCAAATACAACCAACTTACCAGCTTTCCTCTCCAATAGAGTGTTTCACAGTAGGCCAACTTTGCTTTCAACTTTGATCCAAACTTGTGGGCCAACTTCAACAAATTTGATGGGAAAGTTGTCCAACTCTACTGTGAAACACCTGGAACTGCCGAAAACATGAAGTTGGGCTGATTTGTGCTTGAAATCACTTCCGAGTGCAAATTGTTGCCTATTTTGGACACATGGGAAGTTGAGAGGTGAAGTTGGGATCAAAGTTGGCTCCGAATTGGCAGTGGGACCACAATTTGGATCCCAACTTGATGAAGTTGGCCAAACTTTATCCTTCCAACTTTGCAAAAGTTGGTTGCCAGTTGGCCTACTGTGAAACACCTTAATGTTGTGTCTGGAAAATCAACATCCCACCCCAGATACATTATTTCTCAATTGTATCCTGAATATTTCAATTATACCCTCAACCAAGATATATTTATCAACTTCATCCTGAATTAAGATACATTATTTTCCAACTACATTCTGAACCAGGATATATTTTTCAACTACATATATGTTGTATATTTCCTCTAAATCCTGAACCAAGATATATATTTCAACTATATCTTGAATCAACATACATTATTTTTCAACTATATCCTGTATTTCCAACTACATTCTGATCAAGATATACTTTTGAACTATATCCTGAACCAGGATATTTTTGATCTATATCATGAACAGGATCATGAATATATGTCATCCTTGCCCATAATTACAGAATATATCCAGGATATATAATTTGGAGATGTATCTTTAGATTTCACAAGACAAAGCTGCAATTTATTGAATCTAACTACATAAATTTACACCACAGTATTGACTATTAAACAGAGGCAGAGGAAAGGAGGGGAAGAGAGAGAGAGGGGGGGGGGGGTGGGCAATGAGGGAGGAAAGGAGTGGTAGGCAATGAGGGAGGGGAGAGGTTGTAGGCAATGTGGGAGGGGAGGGGTTGTAGGCAATGAGAAATGAGGGAGGGGGGAAAAAGTGGTTATAGGCAATGAAGGAGGAGGGAGGGAAAGGGGTTATAGGCAAGGTGGGGGGAGGGAGTGGCAGACGGGAGGTGTTGGTAGGGAATGATGAAGGGGGGAAGGGAGGTGGCAGTAACAGATGATGGAGGGAGGAAGGTGGTATGCAGGGAGGGAGGGAGGGAGGAAGGAGGTGGGTAGGCAGGGAGGGGGAGGAAAGGAGGGAGGGAGGGAGGAAGGGAGGAAGGAGGTGACAGACCAGAGAGGGAGGGGGGAAGTGGGCAGTGTGGGAGGAGGGCTCACCGAATGAAAATATAACAACAACAACAATGACATTATCGGCGTCGTCCCTCATCAGTCTGCATCGTGGCCCAGCACCCTCGCTGGGTCATTTGTGGCCCTGGGGACGTGGGGTGCACAGTCGTCGTTTTCGTCGGTGCACACTGGTCGTCGTTCTCATGGGCGGTGGTCGTCGTTCCTGTGGGCAGCGGTCATCGTTTCCATGGGCGCTGTCGTTTCCGTGGGCGGTGGTGGCGTGCGCCGGACGTCATTTTGCGTGGGCGCTCGTCGTCGTTCCCCAGTTGGTGTAGCTTGTTGTTATCGTTTTGGGTGGTCGTGGTCGTTTTGACGTGGTCGTCCTAACGTGCTGACATGGCACGGTTGTTGTTGGTTCAGGATGAAGGACGGGCAAAACGACCACTAGTCCTTACCATATTTTATCATAAAACCATGGCCTAGGCCAGGAAGGCCTTGTGCATAGCTCCACATACTTTTATGAAAAGTATATCATATATATCCCAGGCCCTTTTATGATAAGGATTTTTTTCATAAGAGGCCTTGTGCATTTCAATAACTTTTCATTGCAGGTCACAACTTATCATTAACTGCTTTTCATTGCAGTCCAGCCATTTTCATTGACCACTTTTCATTGCTGGCCAGCCCTTTTCATTATCCACTTTTCATTGCTGCTGGCATTTTCATTGGGTGCTTTTCATTGCAGGCCAGGATATTTCATTGGTAGCTTTTCATTGCTTTCTAGGATTTTCATTGGCTACTTTTCATTGCAGGCCAGCCTTTCTCATTGACCACTTTTCATTGCTGCTGGGATTTTCATTGATAGCTTTTCATTGCAGGCCAGGATATTTCATTGGATACTTTTCATTGCAGGCCAGCTCTTTTCATTGACTGCTTTTCATTGCTGCTGGTATTTTCATTGGTAGCTTTTCATTGCAGGCCAGGATATTTCATTAGATACTTTTCATTGCAGGCCAGCCCTTTTCATTGGCTGCTGTCAGGTGGGTCATCAGGAGAGTGGTCACATGACCAGTTGCCTAAAATGGTTAAAAACAAAAATTGTAGTCCTGCACTGTAGCTTCCTGAATCTGTTTAAATTATGTTGTAAAGTGCTTTCATTGTAGAGATATGAGGTAAAAGATTTTTCTCATCGCCAGCTTTTTTTTTTTTTTTTTTTTTTTTTTTTTGCATTTTTCTCCATGAAAACAAATCCAAACAAGATGATTTCAATACATTTAGAAAGCCAAGAGAAGGGGCTACAATTATCATATCGTGGGGAAATTGTGCCAAAAAGAAAGGTGCATACCTCAAAAGGGAAATTGACATGGATAGCCTGCAAAAGGCTACAAAAAGTCTGACATAGACTATAAGGACCACTGATAGACTACAAAAGACTACAAAAGTTGGACATACCTTACAAAGTTTAAAGTTTACTAATAGACTATACAATTTACTAAAAGACTACAAAAGACTACAAAATGTCAGAAATAGACTACAAATTTTATGAACATCCTTTTTTTAGACTACAAAAGTTTCTATTGTCTGCTATTTGAGACTACAAAGTCGTAGTGTCCACTTTTTTGAGACTACAAAAGTTGTAGTGTCCCCTTTTTTTGGACTACAAAAGTTTGTAGTGTCTGCTATTTGAGACTACAAAAGTTTGTATTGTCTGCTTTTCAAGACTACAAAAGTTGTAGTGTCCGCTTTTTTGAGACTACAACAATTTGCAGTGTCCACTTTTTGAACCTACAAAAGTTTGGAGTGTCTGCTTTCTGAAATTACAGAAGTTTGCAGTCTGCTTCTCTGACATAAAGTGTTGGTGCCCTGAACTATGTTAAGGTTCATGGGGATATGGTTGAAGGATTGACATATATACATTGTTGCATCATTGGTTTTGGTATCATGCTCAACCTGTCTTTTGCATTAGGACAGTTGTCCTCTCTTTCTAAATCAGAAGCCACCATCCTATCTTTGACCTGGTATTCACATTAGTAGCCACTGTTGTATGTTTGACTATAGTTATTGTTGAAAGTGACTTCTCTGAAAATTATGAATTGTGTGTGATGCCTGGCAGCCTATCCAGGCTTTTCATAGCATGATCCCTTGTCACCTTCCAAGCTTTCATCATTCAGTCTTAGCTCATTCAGAAGGACTGATAGGTGAAGGATAAGGGGCAGTTGGGTCATGTCTCTTTCTCAATCTTCATTGAGGAGTCATGTGAGAAAGACAATCTTGAAATTGGTAAGGCTTTTTCATCATGGACTAATGAATCAGAGTTAAGTATAGTTTGAGAGAGGAGAGTAACTATTAACATGAAAGGATAGAATAGGCTCTACTTATGTCAAAGACAAGTTGAGCATGATACAAAACCACTGATGCAGCAGTAGATAGATGGGTGTCAAGCCAACTCAATCCTTCAGCCATATCCCCATGAACCTTAACATAGTCAAGGACACTACACAGTGTATGTCAGAAAAGCAGACACTCCAAACTTTTGTAGTGTCAAAAAGGCAGACAAGACAAACTTTTGTAGGTTCAAAAAGTGGACACTGCAAATTGTTGTAGTCTCAAAAAAGCGGACACTACAACTTTTGTAGTCTTGGAAAGCAGACAATACAAACCTTTGTAGGTGTACTTTACGCTCCCCCACACATTCCAGTTGGACTCCAGATGGACTCCAGATGGGTATCTGGACTCCATATGGACTCTGCCTACAATACAAAAACAGCTATGTATTTCAGGATCATGCAGCCGGAGTCCATCTGGAGTCCGCATAGACTCTGTCTGGACTCCACCTTAAGGGATTTACTGTTTGAGTGCAGTTTTAAAAAAAAACATTGACTCCAATACTATATAATACATCCAATACTACATAATACACCACTTTAGTCATCATCTTCCACATCCCAATGTCTCTCTATAATAGTTTCTTCACTGTCATCATCCTCATCATCATTAATTTGAATGATTTGGTGAGGCTCTTCCTGCTGTCCTTGCTTTTGAATAACATGCTGAGTGTGATAGAAAAGCATGGTATGCAAAAACCAATCAAAATTTCCAGTTTTCATTCATTTGAGAATGGACTCAAATCCTCCAAGCCAAGAATTCAATTGTTCACATGCCTAAAATTGAGTCAGTCAAATCAAATTAAAATTAATAGAAATGCATAATGCATACCTGTGTATTAAATGCCCGTTGAAGATATGGTTGACCATTCTTATCATGAGCAACTTTGACAAGATTTGGAGCAGAACCATTTAATGGACCAGGGTTACACCATTTGCGGCACAAATAATCCAATGTGCGATGATTGATATAATGATAAGAGTCAACAATGAAACATGTGGTTTTCTTCCATCTATCCCAGCTTCCATTTGCAATAGCTGTTCTAAGTACTCGACAAGCTTTATCAATGCAAATGTAGTGTGGTCGAGACTCCTCAGTAGGATATATTTTCTCTAACCAATTAAGAATGTTGGTTGGAGACTCAGCTCTGTCAAATTTAACCCATGCAATTACAACACCACATGGTGCTGTAATTGTTTCAACACAATAAAATCTGGCTGCTCCAAAATAATTGTGTCGTGGAATTATAACATCATCATCAGCGTCATGGGGCTGAACAGTTCGGCGGAGACCAGGCTCCCAAGCATTTCTTTCTTCTGGTCTTTGTAACATCCTTTTTACTCCAAGCAAGCTTGAACGACTGTGGTCAAGTTTGTATTTCTTCCATTCTGCTTGGTGAGAGTGGCATGCCAGTGTATTTTCAACTCTATCTCGAGCACAGTCACGGATACGGCATCTATTCCCATATTCTCTTTCATATTCCTCACAAAATGCCCCTCCTCTTGTATTTTGTAAGTCTTTAATACATCCTTCTGCTGCACAGTGCTAAAAAGAAGTCAGCATCCAGTTTCTAGAAGGCCAAGTAAGTTTAATTACCTGAGGGCCCATCACAACACCATCCAAAATAATCATTGAACAATCAGCATCATCATCACTGACATCCATAGCATTGGGATCAGCATTATTGAGATTGTTTGCTCTTAATTGGGCTGCTTGTCCCTCTCTTGTAGTATCTTGTGCAGATAAATTTGCATATTCTCCTGTTAAAACAGGTACAGTAGAATTTTCATCTGCTCCTATCACTGCTGCAGGATCTTCATTGGCCATAAAATCTGCAGTGTCTTTATATGGTTGACAGCACTTAGAACATGAATGCTCTTTTCCTGGCTCTATTACCCCTCCATTTCCTAATTTCTCAAATGCCTGCTGGGTAACTTCTTCAGTACTTATCACTCCCCCACCTATTCCTACTGGACTCCAGGACTCCAGTAAGATTCCTACTGGATTCCAGGACTCCAGTAGGATTCCCACTGGATTCCAACAATTCTTCCAAAAAAGGCATTTTCCACCTATTGGACTCCTACTGGACTCCTACTGGATTCCTACTTGAGTATCATGCATTCTATCAATTTTTGATTAAGTCAGTCAGACCTTTTAGCACCTCAAAATTCCATACCAAACTTGCATAAAACATAGATATTATATTGATAACTATATACACAAATATATACAAAAAGTATTTAATAATCTAATGTGGTCAGGGAGGGGGAGGGAGGAAGTGGTGGGGAATGATGAAGGGGGGGAGGGAGGGGGAGGCAGGGGAAGGGATGGAAGGGAGATGGGAGTGATGGAGGGAGGGGGAGGGGAGGGATGGAGGTGGGAGACAGGTGGGGTTCATTCTCGTCCATGGGTGGTCGTTCTCATGCGTGGGCGTTCTCGTGCGTGGGCAGTCGTTCTCGTGGGCGGTCGTTGTTGTGCGTCGGCGCGGTCGTTGTTGTACGTGGGCGGTTGTTGTTGTGCATCGGCGTGGTTGTTGTTGTGCATCGGCGTGTGGTCGTTCTTGTGCGTGGGCGTTCTCGTGCATGGGCAGTCGTTCTCGTGGGCGGTCGTTGTTGTGCGTCGGCGCGGTCGTTGTTGTACGTGGGCGGTCGTTGTTGTGCATCGGCGTGGTCGTTGTTGTGCGTTGGCGTGTGGTTGTTCTCGTGCATGGGCGTTCTCATGCGTGGGCAGTCGTTCTCATGGGTGGTCGTTGTTGTGCGTCGGCGCGGTTGTTGTTGTACGTGGGCGATCGTTGTTGTGCATCGGCGTGGTCGTTGTTGTATGCGGGCGGCCGTTCTCGTACGTGGGCGGTTGTTGTTGTTGTTGTATTGTGTTGTCGCGCTGTCGTGCCGTGTCCGGGGTGGTCTGCTGTCGTCCGTTGACGTGGGAAGTCGTTTCCGTGGGCGGTCGTTTCCGTGGACAGTCGTTTTCGTGGGTGGGCAGTCGTTTTCCTTTGTGGGTGTTCATGTTCGTACGTGGGCATTCGTTTTCGTACGTGGGCTGTTGGTTGGCTAAACGGTGTGAGCGGGCGGTGACGTGGCTAGTGGGATGATGCACGTCATACCTGGGTGCCCTTTTCCGGTGTGTTGACGGGCGCGGTGTTTGTCGACAGATGGCGAGGGCAGTGGTTGGATGGTGGTGGTTGTCGAAGCCTCGTTGATGGGTGGTGGTGACGTGGAAGGATCTAGGTTGAGGGTTTGGGCAAATTCCCACTCGCGGAATTTGCCGGCATCCTTTCTAGGAAGCTAGCCTTACGGTTGGTATGTAGAGTATAAAATATACCTGTATAATAATGCCTACGTGGTACAAGTGGTAAAGTGCTCACTCTGTAAAATGCTGGTGTGTCCATAAGGTTGAGTGTTCAATCCATGCATGTTGCGCTTTTATTATTATTACAAGCTTTAGACCCGTGCCTACGGCACAGCACTCGCTAATGCTCGGCTGTTCCTCCAGCACTGGTCACAGCTTGCCGGGGGCACGCCCCCTGGACCCCCTGGTACACATCTTTAATCCCAGTTTTGGTACTCATCTTAAATCCCAGTTCTGGTACACTTCTTTTATTCCAATCTCTATATCCATTCACATACACTTATTTACAGTAATTAAAAAAATTGTACAAAAATCATAGCATAAATCTACAATATCAAATTTAGTCAAGAAGTACCTCAGGATATACAATATTTTTGGTAACAGGACTTGGAAGTTGATCATCCCATATTATCTTGATGTTATGAACAGAAGTTACTCGTGAAACTGCAACATAGAACTGCCCATGGGTGACACAGCAGATCGAGCATCTATCCTCA